TCTCCATCTAGCCAATGCCTTGCTGGATGCTTGCTGGCACAGAAATAAGCATAATGAAGTCTTTTTTTAGCCTCTTCATCCTCCAAAACAGCTTTTCTAAAAGACAGTTTTCTGACCTCATTTAACTCACCCAGTCTGCCTGGGCTAAGAGTATATTAAATCTTGCAGTTGGCATGTCTCTTCCCACAACACACCCATTTTTCCCCTTTTGAGGTTGGAATCCCAGCCTTGGTGGGGTAACCTCTGCAGAGCTTTCCCCATGCCTGGAGTGAAGCTGAGCAAGAGGAAGCGCTGTAGCATCCCCTTGTCTGAGATGGGATCTCTGTTGCTCGCCTTGGAAGGGAAATCTCCTTTGTCCTGTAGCCCTTTAGACACTGTCTAAGGATTACAGGATGATGCCCATGATGCAGCAGAACTGCAAACAGCAAAAGTGCCCCTCAGTTTCTCCAACATTTATTTGGAGACAAGGCAATAAATATTGCAGGAGAAATTGAAGGATTACATTCCAGGTACTGTCTGGGTTGAGTTGGAGGCAGGAAAAACTAAATCTAAGAACTTCCCTTCCTAAGATCCTAATTATTGCAGCTTTGAAAATCAAGTCTGTTGATATCTACAAGGCTCCATCCAAAAATTCATCTCTTAAATGTGACAGAAGCTTTGGAAGATTTAAACCAAACCATACCGACCGCAAAGCAAAGCAGAAGAGGGTCTTTCAGAGGTTAAGCTTTCCTGTAAACATTCATAAGCAATGCTGAGGTGAGAACAGATGAAACAGCTTTTCACTCCAGCATATTTTCATAATAGCACCAAAAAGGCAGCTAGCATAAGCATGAATGTAGTACTCCAGTACTGTAATTCCCTTATTAAATTCCAGAGATTAATTGCGGACTTCAAGGCTGAATTTCTCCTAGGACTGCAAGCAGATCTGGTGGATGTTATCAATGCACTAAATAAATACTGCATAAATATTGTATGCTATTGCTCAAAGGCGGGGAGAAAGAGAGAGAGAGCCTGAGAGAGAGAAAGAAGGCATGGGTGGCCTGTGGGCCCAGTACATTGAAAAACAGCAGTAGAATAAAATTTAATTTTCCATGCCCTGAAAGAGTTCATCCAATTATAAAATGAACATTTTAAAAACTTCTACATTTGTAATAAGACTAAGCAAAGCCAAGTTAATCATAACGTTTCCAATTTTCCATCTGCAGTATTTGCTTCTGACTGAAACTGGAATTTGTTTGTCTTAATAGTGAAATGGAGAATCAGTACAAGATTGTTAAATTGTACTTGGTTTCGTTCTCAAATCATTGTTTCTGAGCCAAAGTGTTCAACATTTTTAATCCACTTTTGTGTAGCAGGGAAACAGACCATGAAACTAATTTGCAAAAAAAAGTCTTCGAAGCACAATTAGTTGAAGAACACAAGAAAGGAGAAGTATAAGCTAATAACAGTAACCAAGTCTGAGGCATATGAATTGCTTCACTTCGCGCTGAAGTCTTCAGGCTCTGCACAATAAAGGTACATTTGTTTTCCCTTTAGTTGCATGCAGGCTTCACATCGTTCCCTCACGGGGCCTGCTGGTTGTTAGACAGGGTTTAACAGGTTCTTCTTAACATAAAATGTTGCTTCTCTGTTTAAATTTGGCTTTAAATTTTGCACTGCTAACTTTTATGATGTTTAATATGTTTAACTGGTATATTTATACTGTTTTTAAATATACTTTTGCAAACCACCCAGAGAACCTCAGCTGTTGGGTAGTATAACAAATAAACAACAAAGCAATTTGAACTGCACGCTCTCAGCATTCTAAATGCACACAGTTTCCTTCCTTCCTTCCTCCTTCCTTCCTTCTTCCCTACTCTTGAGATTTCCTGCATGGGATGAACATCACATATCCCAACTGGCCATTGGGCTAGATTTAGGATAGCAGTGATTCCTTCTTTGCAGAGGAAAGTTACCCATTTGAAGGTCTTCATATTTTTCATACCAACTACTTTGGTTGCTTCAGCAAATGATGAGCATTGGAAACTGAGCAAGGCAGCATGTCCCTGTTGGTTCTGCTGGACCTATTGACTGTGGTATCCTCCTTAGGCAACTGCCTGATGTGGCACCGGGAGGACCTGCTCCAGGGTGGCTCTGGTCCCCTCTTGGGGGTAGTTTCAGAAGGCTGTGCAGAGGGATTTCTGTTTTGTGCCTCATGCCATTTAAGATATACATGAAGCCACTGAGAGAAGTTGTTGGGAGTTTGGTGGCGCCAGTATGGTGAATGACACCTAACTCATCTTTCTCTTCCATTTAAATGCAAGCAAGCTGTTCCAGTTCTAAATCAGTGTCTGATGACAGTACTGGGAAGAATGAACGCAAACAACTTGAAGGTTAAACCCAACGAAGCAGAAGTGTTTGTGTTCAGCCAACAGGCAGATCAGAGAACAAGAATTCAATTTGTGCTGGACGGAGTTACTCTCCCACCCGTGACTCAGATGTTTGCTTTGGGATTCAGCCCTGAATCTGATGCTGAGGTTTAAGTGCTGGTTAGGAGTGCATTTGGCAGTTGAGGTTAGTGCACACTGCAGCAGTTCCTAGAGATGTCTGATTTGGCCACAGTCAGTCATGCCTTTGTTACATCCTATTTAGTCTACAGCAATGGACTCTACTGGCAGCTGCCTTTGAAATCTGTTTAGAACATTCAAAGAGAAGTTTGAAGTGGGTCTGAGCAAAACTCACCGTGCTGGTGCTAAGTCCTATACTGCTTGGGACTAGGTTACCTGAAATACCATATGAGCTGCCTAGCCTCTAAGATCATTGGGTGAATCTTTCTCTCTGACTCACCACCATCAGAAGTGCATTTGATGGGGACACAAGGGAGACCCTTCTTGAGAGCTGCTCCGAGGGGCTAGGCACTCCCCTTTCCTTCTGAAGGCAGGCAAAAACACTTTTGTTCTAGCAAGCCTGCTAAGCTGGTCTGTGGTTTTAAAGATGCTGGTGCTGTTTATTGTTTCATTTTTAATTGTGCATTTATTTGTGGGTTTATTCAATGCTTTGTTTTAATGTTAGCTTGTTTATGACTTGTTTTTAGTCTGCATTTTATTATTAGCCACTCAGAGCACCATTTTTTTGAGAAGATTAGGATAGAAATTAAATTATTGTAATTGTCAGTCTCCTGGGATCCCATCCAGGCATTTGCCTAGTTCAGACTAAAGGATGCTGTGCAATGAACCTGTCTGTCTATGACTGTTCCTTGAAGAACTTGGGTTCTTCATTACTCTCTTCCTTGAGACAGGGAAAGAGGGATGCACATAACTCCTCTGATCCAACAGCCTTCATGAATGGCTGGAATATCCCTGGGGTTTAATATTTCACTTATGGGTGGATCATACCAGCTCATTCCAGCACAATGTTTGGGATTCACAGCTTCAGTCCTTAAAAACAAGCAAATGGCCATTATGTGACTGTAGAACCCCAAGCTAGCCATGCACAAAGAAATATATCCTTTTGTTCTTCCTAAAGTGATTTGCCATTTCATTTTATTAGGGGAGTTCAATGAGTTTTAGGGTTTCGGAAGAAAGAGAACAAAAATAAATCTCTATTTACTTCCTCCTACCATGAATTGCAACTATCTCATGGAGCAGCCTGAGACACATTTTAAATGGTCAGCTATGATTAATTTGGCCAGCTAACTGAAACAGTTGTTTTCTGTAACTTCTCAAATAATACTAGGGGTTCTTGATTAAACAAAACAAAACAAAACTTGCAAATACTTGGGAGGTCTGCCTTAATCCTATTTCTGCCTTATGCCAGATGAGTAGAATCAAATCTTGTTCGAATATGGTATGTCAACTGTTGGGATCGGTCTACAGAATGCAGAGATTGAACTCTAGCAAATGGAATCAAGATGCAGTTGGAAGTACAGACCTCTCAATCCTTTCCTGGTTTGCTGAAACATACTACAATGTGCTACAATCCTTTATACGAGTGGCAAACTCATTAGAGCCAGATAGGTAACATCTCTGCACAACAGGAATGGATTGAGGGAACTTCAAGGTTTGAAACAGCAGCAAAAATGGTTAGGGTTAGGCAACTCACCCTGCCCACCACCCACTCCAGAAAATGTCCCAATGAGGAACAGCCATGTTCAGCTTTAACAGAATGCTGAGTACCTAATTGGGAAGGGGGCTTGGAAAACCAGCAAAAGGGATGGAGAATGGAATGGAATGGAATGACCAAAGAGAAGGCATGTCTGTTCATCTGGCACCCTGAACTGCAACATGTGTATCACATTCTATTCATATTCAGTTGGCTTGAAATGGATCTAGTTAATCCATATCATCTTGAAAGTCTTCCCAAAGTTTGAACAGACTCTGTACATTGAAAACAAACCCAGCAAATCAACAGTGGCCCTTGCCTGAAGCTTTCCTAAAATATGCTATCCATCCATCCATTTATTTATTTTAATATTATATACAGTCCCATTTCCATAAGCTCTGGGTGGTTTACAAGAAATTAAAACCAATAGTGGTTAAAATCAAGGAAGACAACATATTAAATAAAGCTGACATGAGAACTAATCTGGAAACTCCTGTTGGAAAAGATACATCATTAACTCCCTCTTAAAGGAGTTAATTTGGGAAATCAGATGTATCTCTCCCAATGGACCAATCCACAGCTTAGGGGCAACCAGTGATGAAGCCTCCTGGGTGGTTGACATTAATCTTGCAGAAGCAGACTTCAGAAGATTATCCCCAGAGGACCTTAGCTGGGAGGTGGAATCTATGGGCAATGATGCTTTCCCCAACAATGCACCATTGCCCTCCAAATAAGAATATGAGGATTCTATTTTACATCTGGGGAATTCATACTAAAAGGGAGCCATTTTACAAACACCAGCTAGAGTTACATGATCAAACAGGGATTTGAAGGCCCTGTCAGACACACCATCCAATATGCTATCATTCTAGACTGGTTCTTCTCCTTTCCCAACAAGAAGCTAGAAACAGCATTCTTACCTTGGCAGATACACCTCCACCTTCTGTTTCTTCACAGAGCCTGCCCATTCCTCAATCAACTGGGCTTTGACCAGAGGTTCCAGCGTGGCTAGTGGAACCTCCTGCCTGGAAAGTACTATCATCATACTCATCTCATCCCCCTCATACGGTATTTCCAGAACTTGATAGATGCCGCCAGCTTCATTGGAACCATCACTGAATTCCCCTAAAAGAAAACCAAATAGTCTGGCTGGTGGTCTGGAGTTCATTTTATTTATCTGCACTTAAAATATACATGGGGATGCTTCCAGATACAGTCCCACACCTCTGCAAGTAACCAGGTATGTGAAGGTTGAACTAGGTTATTGCAAGACATGAGGAATGCACAATGGTAAACTCTTCTGTATCATACTCTCTCACACTATTAAATTGAAATGAATAACCTTTAATAGCTATACCGTTTTCACATTTTCATGGGATATGACTACTAAGTCATTATTCTGGTGGGCTGCCCATTTATTTGGATGATCTCCCCACACTTTGGGGGAAAAAAACTGGCAAGCCATCCTTGGACAATTTTCGTCTAGGACAGGGTAGAAATATTTTAAATAAATGAATAAAGATGATGAAAATGTGATACTTTGGTATACCTTCTATATCTTTGGGATATAATGTGATTAGACAGCTGGTTTCAGATATAATGCTTAGCTATGGTTTGTGCTTACCATAGTTATGAATGTGTGCCATACTTTGAGTTTCCAGAGGTACAGCAAGCAAACCATGGTTTAGAGCTGCTTTTGCTTTCTATGTGCTCAGTTTTATAAGTTCACTCCTGTTTTCTTGCTACAATAGTCTTTTGAGGTGGAGCAAGGTCCTGAACTATGGCTTGACAATATTCTGTGAATTCAGCCATACTGGAAGACCATATTTAGCACAAACTATGTTTTGCAAACCAGCTTCAGACCAGGGATAGCTGTGATATTTGAGTGTGCTAGGATTCCTGTACTGCCACTTTCACCTTATTTGTTTTTGTTTGTGGATTGTGTTCACTTGCTTTGTGCAAATGGAAAACTTACACAAATTGAACAGCCATTAAATGGGAGATATGTCCAAATTTACTGCATAGACTAAAGTAGGACTGATGCAATCTATGGAAGAAATTTGTGCAGATTAAGACACTGGTGCAACCGGACTGGGGGTCAGAAATGAGATGAACACAGACACTTATTTGACAATTTGTAAATACTTGCAGTGGACATATACTTGAACTTGGTTTTGGAACTTTGACTGATGGTGACATAGGATGGGCTGCACAGCTCCCATCAAATATCATCCTAAGTAGGCTGACAATTGATGCGGATCACTAATTAGAATCACCAATTTAGCCAATATGTTGATCTTTTTAATTATTTGAGTTAGCATAAGTGCTATTGCTAAATCTTGTACTATGATTATCATTCCCGCCCGCTACTCCAGCTTAGCTTTTTGTTGAGCTTAGTTCATTTCAGATTTCTATTAATTAAGCTAGTCTGCAGTTGGATGGTTAAAAAAAAATGCACTCTTTTGCTTACCATAATAAAATTCACCCTGCTGATACATCATTGGGATTTGAACTTCACTTTCATCATCTTTAGTGAAGGAGAAGGTTCTTGTGTTTTCTGGCCTGAACTGGGACTTCCAATTTCCCTTAAAGTAGATTGCATTGATGAGGGCCAAGTGAGTAAGTGCACTGAAATCCCTTGCTGACACAAAATCTTTGATCATGTCTGTCAGAGGAAAGGAGAGAGGGAGCACATCCATCAGAATGTCCAACTGAACATTTAAATCAAAGTTTACCCAGCCAGCAGAAAGCAAGAAAACAAAACAACATAAAAGTAATGTATAGTTTTCCATTCAAACATCATTTTCTGATCCTAAGATTAAACTGTCATCTTTTTGAATGGGGAAAACCTTAAGCTTTAATGTTGGCAGAGCAACCTGTATAAAAGATGTATATACTAATCAGTTGTCATTAAAACAACAATACAAAATATATCCAGTTTTATTGCCAAGTTAAGAACATGAGAATAACAACATGGTGAATCAGACCAAGGGCCTTGCAAGTTCAACGTTTGGTTCCCACGGTGGCCAATCAGCTTCCTATGGGAACCCCACAAGCAGGACGTGAGTCCTGGTGCCCTTCTGGGAATTCCATCCCATTTAAACCTGACACAAATTCTACAGCATTTCCACTCCAGAAAATGATGGTGGAGTGTCCCCTTCTCCAATTCCAGGAAAATGTTTCTATATTTTGGGGGATCTCCATTATGTGCAATCATTGTAATCAGTGCAATCAATTACAAATCAAATCAGAAATATCTTGAAATTTGTGCAAATGGCATCATTATATTTTAACAGTTTTTTATTGTGATATTGTGCAAATGCACACATTTGCAAGGCTGCCTATCTATTATGTTGTCCTGCACATATTCCCTTCTGGTACATATCCTTGTGCCTTTGACCTTCTCCACACATCGTCCAGTCCATATCCCCTACCTTGTATTGACAAGGCACTTCTCAATTGAAGGTGGAACAGAAATTGGAAAGTTCATAGACAATTCTTATACCTCCCCAGTTAGAAGTATCCTGCTTCTAGTGAGAATACAGTCATCAAGACTAATAGCCATGAATAGCTTTATCCTCCATGCATTTGTCCAATTCCCTTTAAACTTTGAAGTTTAAACTTTAAAGGCTGTCCAAACTAGTCACCACATCTACAGGAACATATTTCCCAGCTTGTCTATCTCTGGGATGAAGAAGTATCACCTATTCTTTGCCCCACTTATCCAGACGCTTATAGGAAAGAAAAATAAAATGTTCTCCAAGCAACTTTGTTCATACCATGACATTTTTATACATTTCTATCAAGCGTAAACCAAAAAAAAACAAAACCAGAACAAAATCAAATGTAACCTTTTCTCATAGAAGAGGTGCTTCATCACCTGGTTTTCTGCAGCTAATGCACTAACTCTGCTGCCCCCTCCATTTTTAAATACATAGACATTTATAACCGAGGAGCCCAGTATTACATACACACAAGACATCAATGAGCATGAACGGGAGAAGCAGACATGCCCTTATTCTCTGTGCCTACCGTGCAGTTCTGAAGCTTTTCTCCAACAGCAGCAGCCAACCAACTCAGAAGGACTAGGGGAACTCAAGGAGCTAATAACGGTCATGCCAGCCTTTTAAAAAAAACTGCCCTAGGCCTGAATTTCCAGTCTAGGTGATTCTTCCGTATGTATTGGTGCTCAATAGCCTAATCCATCTGGAACCAGACCAAAACTCTTGAGACCCTGACATCAGCCTCTGACCCTTTGGATCCTTGCCTAGCATTTGAAAACTTGAACACTTCCCTTTTGCTTCTCACCTCACTGGGCTGACAGTAGGATGCAGATACAGTTACTCCTTCTTACCTGTGCCAGCCTTTCAAGGCTCCCCACCTGCCACCAGGTTCTACCTGGTTCTTCCTCCCAGTTAGAATCAAAGCAAGGAGTTACGTTCAAGGTAAGACCATTATGGCAGCCCTACTTTAAGAATGCTCAGTGTACTTCACAGCTGGGTTGCTGCAATGCTGTAAAGCACATCAGCATTATTTTTCTAATACTGCAAGTGGGCAAATCAAGGCAAAGAGACGGTGGTTGAGGTTTCAACAGGGGATTTCTTGGTGCACAGCTCAGGCCACAATCCTAGGCATGTTTACTCAGAAGTAATCCTCACTGAACTCGCTTGCTTGCAAGTAAACATAGGTGGAGGTGAGATGATCCCATGACAGTCTTGTTGGGTGTTATGAATCAGAAAAACAATACCACAGATTAGGTGCTGATTGTTCTTCTGTTAACTGAGATTAAATTCCAAATGGGTACAAAATGGATAAGAATCAAGCACCTCCTGCTTTCCAAGCAAGGATGATACGCTTTGGGAAATATTCACTGTGGATAACGACTTGCATTAATTAAACACTACAGCTAATCTGAGTTTTAATTATGATTTTATGGAAAAATGTTCCTAGTACTAAATGCAATCAACTCTGCTAATTGGAAATACAACAGCCCACTCAGAGCCTCTTCAATTGTACTCTATTAATTACAAGAATATATTTGTCAATAAATTCTTTTATAAATGGTTCTATTTTTACTTGGTTCTACTATGTATTTATTATTTATTTATATCCCTGATTTCTTGATGATTGTCTGTGTCCCTCTGTATATTTCATGGGTCCCATATAAGACGAACTTTATTATTTCATTTAAAATGTAACCAACATTTTCTAAAATGAAGTCTTTTGAAAAAGGAGTGGGTCATTAAGTTAACCATTATGCTATCTCTCCGTCTTCTAGAAGTACACAATCTAAATGTAAATATATGGCACCAGGCAGTTGGTTTGTATCCAAAGCATGGGCTGGGCACAGGCCGTAATAATGTGATTGTGCCAGCTTTAAGTGTCTGTTGCTTGCTGTGAAAACCCAGTGTTCATTCTTATGCAAGTGTCAAATCCAACCCTTTTATTCTTCTTGTACTTGTTAGGACTGCCAACAGCCAGTATGAGAACAACAACACCTCTTCTACTCTTTCTGCTTTTAGAATATGCAAGACAAGAAGCTGTTCTCCTAAAGGAATAATCCAATTTTAATAGACATATGAAACAAAGTCATTAAACAATCCTACTGCCTGGAAGCTTGACCAGGAAAAACTTGTGTTGTTACTATTCCATTTTGCCAGGGCAACATCCCATAGGCTTTCAGGGTAATAACCATGCAATAAACCGAGTAAGCATCCCGGTTGCATCAGCATCTAGCCCATTGCCATTTGCTCAAGGAAAGGAAGAGACATCTTGCATCTGTTCGAGTCATGAGAGGCTTGTTAGCCAAGGGTAGCAGCTGCTGTGCCCACATTCCTAAATAAATCACTCCAATCAGAATGCATTGTCTTCTACCTGGTGTTGCCAACTGGGATCAGCCTGCTTGCTTTTCAGTATGATAATATTGAGTTTGGAATTCTGCACCGACAGTGATGAATCGAGTCACTGCACCAGTTTCACAGATGGTTACAGATGCATCCCTGCATTTTATCTGGGATAAAACACCCTGCCTGGATCAGAGAAACTGATATAGCCTGGATCCAAAGTGCCACAAGCACTCCAATGCACACTTGGAGCACTGCACACTCTAATGCATTTCCCATTCATGCACGGCATTCCCCTTCCCTTAAAAAACATGGGAAACCACATGCACACAGGAGAACATCTCTCCCTGAAAGACGCCACGCTTCTTCAAAGCTCCATCTTGACTTCCAATCCCCTGCAATCTTGCACAACATTGTTCCTTATAGCGCATGAAAGAGCGCTGCTTCAGTATTAAATATGATATTTTAATAGCTGTACCAGCATAAGCCTATGCCTATTATTGCAGAGGTGATTTCCATGACGTTCAGTGAACTTATTCTCAGCTCAATACATATAGCAGGGGTGAATAACATGTAGCTTGTGGACTGCATGTTGCCACCAAACAGTTTTCCAGCCCCTGCTGGGTTCCCTGCTTCTGCAGCGTGGCCCTCACTGCTGCTCGGAATTCTGCTTGGAAATGCTTGTTTCATAGCAGCATTCTTGAATTGTCTCTCAGCAGAATCACCGCTGTTTGGCAGGCTGCAGTGGAGGAGGGGTTCTAGCTACAGTTGGGCAAGGGTGCTACCTCCAGGGGACTTGTGGGGTCCCAGGTAACCTCCCATTCCACTACAGTCGCCCTCTCCAATGCTCAGCAAGAACCCGCTCGTGACCTTTACTTCTCCAGCTCTACCACTAGCAGCTATGCTGAAGTCTCCTCCTCTCTTAAACCATGTTCCTTGCTACTTTCGATCAGTCCTCAAAAGACCTCTTCCTTGGTTTAACTTCTCTAGCCCATTGAGGGGGGCGGTAACCTGAGTTTTGGACTATAGCTGCCATAACAAGTGGCCACTGGCCAAACTGGCTGGAGGACAATAGACACTTTGGAACACAGGTACACCTCCCACCTCCTCCAGCCTTAGCCGCAAATATAGGCATGTGTAACCGCTCTGTCTCTGACTCCTGTTACACTTGCCTTTCTCCTCTCCCCCATTGCTGAAATTTAGACTGTGATTGAAAACATGGATGTGTTGTTCTTGCTGATGCTGCTTCATAAGACTCCAGGAACACTGACAGCACTAAATAAATAATAAAAGCAGTTTTTCATCTGGTGTTGAAAACTTAAATTGCAACAGTGATAGCAACATTCTTTGACAGGTGATCATCTATCCATCCCTCCTTTCCCATGCACAAGATGGACTAATGTTATCTACAGTCTCCAGGATATAATAGAGGGTAGCAATTTCTATACTTCCTTTATATAGAAGGTCAAGGAGCTCTGCGATATAAATGGGATTATACTTGCTAAAAGAGGGTTGCTTTTCTTTGATGGAAATCTATCCAAGCTCTTTGAGAGAACGTTGACCTTCTTTGCCAATGGAAGTGCTAATTTCCAAATAAAAGAATAGGCAACTGAGACAGCTGAGTTATCTGAAAGCCTTGCTGGTATACTTTTCATACAACATCAATGAAGCTGTTTCTGTTTCTCTGAATTTTCTGACATCAAGTGTCTGTAAACATAAACTGTCTACCAGGCTGTCAATAGATTAAATAAATAGCTGATGAATCATTTGGCTTTAAACCCATCAATTAGACCCAAAATGAATTCAGTATGGCACAAAGAGCAGGATGTAGGTGTTACTGCCGCTAGCTAATAACCCCTGCAAATAATTGCTTGTGCAATATGGATCAAGCCGTGAAGAAAAAGTGAATCCTTAATTACAAATCATCCATTTCAGTGGAGCAAATGCCAATTAAGTCCTCAGGTCCCACTATTTAAATGTGTGTTCCCTTATTGTGGGTGAATTTAGGCTGCAATCCCATGTATGTTTAGATAGAAAAGATGCCTCCAAACAAGAATTATAGGCCTTTTAATATTGCCTAAACAGGCATACAATTGCACCTTAAGACTGCATCACAACACCCTGGTCTCTCAGCTTTGCTAAGAACTCCTTTCATTTAGGGGATTGTGTAGTCTAGTCAATACTGCTCGTGATGGCATTTGGACTTGACCTTTGAAGCCCTTCTACTTGTATCTTTCCTCCTTGTAAAGGGGAGCAGATGTAGCTCAGTAGCAAAGCACCTATTTTTGTATACAGAAGGTCCCACGTTCAGTCCTTGGCAGCTCCGAGCAGGACTGGAAATATTTCTGCATGAAAATCTGGAGAGGCTCTGCGAGAAACACCCCCCCACACTTTTATTTTTTAAATACATAAAAAATAAAAACATAAATACAAACATCTGAAATGCAGGTACGTACCATTCACAATATCAATAATATAGCACATAAAACCCAACTCATGAGTAAAGAAGTAAATAATATTGTGTCCCCACCACCCAGGAGACCAGTAATACCTCCATTTCATTTCATATATTATAACAATTGACAATATAGAATATCCTTCAATTATACCCATGTCCTCTCCAAAAATTTGTATAATCTTGATTAGGCTTACAGCCTTTCCCTTGCATCAGTACTGCTTTTACAAAATCTTCCCATATTTCATCATACTGTATTTATTTACTTTTACTATCCCTTCTTATTTTTATTTCTGTTGTCAATTTATGATTAACAACCATATTCCATTATACCATTCATTCCTTTGCATAACCCAATCCTGTTTCCAATATTTAACCATTTCTAACCTAGCTGCCATTATCAGATTTAGGATCAATTCTTTCTTAACTTCATGCAACTCACTGTTGGCAATACTGGGTTAGATGGGTCATGGTCTACATTCCTATTTCCCGAAACCTTATTTTTTCCCTTCACAAAATCAATTCAGTGCTTTAAAAATACACAAACACACACATATACATTGCCAATCATTTAACAGCTTGGTCTGCCATTTTGCTATGCCTTTAAGACAGACTATGTCTGGGTGATCCCTCAAAAACTGCACTGTTACGAAGACCCTGCAGACAGCTTTATGCTCATAGTTTTTGGAAAGTGTGCCAAAAAAAAGAAGTAAACTGATGTAAATGTTTTAAAAGCTATCTCCTAAATAAGAAAGAGCAGCAATTCAGCTGTGATAGACCACTTAGGAATGAGCAATTGACACAGTCGGAATGGACTGATTATGCAGAAAAGAAGGAAAATAAAGTGAAAGCACATAGAAGAAAAAGAAGCATTGCAGTTTGCAATTTAATTATCTGTGCATATTTATTTATACTTAAAGACACCCAATGACAACCATGAACAGCAAGGAAGACTGTATAAGTACAGGAACATACTGTTTGTGTGATTCTCCACCCATTTATTGATGTGGCTTGCGATGGCTATGCTTTGGCTGAAATCTACATCTTCAACTTCAGCTTTAAAGTATTTTTTCATCAGCTGTAAAAATTTGTCATTGATGTGATACCCATTCTGCACATAAAGGGAATTGGCCAGCTTCATCACATACTGGCTGTCCTCAGTGGTTGTCATGTCAGAAAGGTCTTTTAAGAAAGAAAATTCTTCACCTGAAATCAAAGAAAGAGATCAAAAGTAGGACCCACAGGAGAAGGTAAATATAGTGTGGGTTTTAACTACCTGTTTCCTCATTGGAAGATTTTTTAAAAAAATCAATTAATTAATTAAATACATTCTCCCCACAGAGGAGGGCAGGATGCAACCCAAGGGAGTAAAGCTCAAGGAACCAAGGTTCAATTGATGCCAGGCAGTACTTCCTGACAGGCAGGACCCCGAGGGTATGGAATGGGCTTCCGTGGGAGGTGGTTGAGGCTCCATCAGTGAGGGTGTTCAAAGATAGGCTGGACATGCACATGGTGGGCATGTCGTGAGCGGAGCCGGCTGGAGCCAGGGGTCAGACTAGATGGTCCAGGAGGACCCTTCTGACTCGCTCTGTTTCTATGTTTGTTTATTTATAAGATCTACAGAAAAGGTCACTATTAGGCTAGTATAACTTTAATTTTTGTAAGGGATGAATTAGAAACAATGGGAGCCATCTAAGGCAAGGGCACATGAGGCTCCATTCATCACCATCACCATCACACTTTTACACCCTGCCTTTTTCTGCTTGTGAGCAACCTGAACATGAACATATTTGCATTATTCTTATGCTCTTTCAACTCAACTCGCTTCTACTTTGTATTCTCAATTCATACACCTCCTTTCCTTTCCGTTTTTTTTAACTTACAAGCAAGCTATTCCTTTACAAGACAAGAAAGTATGAATAACTAATGGAGTGATACACATCCGTTGACAATCAACTGTTGTTGTTTTTAAATAAACAGCATCTACCCATATGTCTCCAACTTTTAATGAGAAGTTTCCAACCACTTTTGCTAAATATTTACTGTTTTATGCCAGCTGTTGGCAATTTATTTCATTATCCTAAAGATTTCCATTGAGCTTGTTCAAAGAGTTCCTGAAATGTTTACATAGGATTAATGCATTCTATTTGCATGGCAAAAACTAAATTATTTTGGTGAGCTGTTAATGAAATTATGTCTGACAATTAGGCTATTACAGTTTCTCCAAATAAGAATATTTATGTTTTAAACACTTCCACCCCATTATACAGCTCTGCAACATTTGGCAAATAATTGTATGGTTCTAGCAGTAGGGATGGGTTAGAAGACTTAGGGGTCCAACTGGGCCTGGCAGAACAGGAACATGGAACATTTAGTGGGAAGAACAAGTTGATGCTTGTGGGGTGGGATAGGAGAGCTGTTAGCTCCTTTTTCCAGTGTCTAGGTTGGTTTGTGTGGAGAAAAATAAATTAAGTAAGTGCAGCTTGATTTTAAAACATCTTACCATTTTTCAAGCCTTCATATCCCATGGCGTGCCTGATTTCTTTCAGGCTGGAACCATGGGCTCCCAATTCTACCATTCCCACAGCGATTGCTATTCCCAGTGGGGAGAAAATAATATTTTCATCTTCTCCTGTAGCTCTCAGCTGGTTGTAAACGTTCACCGAAAACTCTGCTATGGTTTCATCAGGAAAACTGGTGCTGAAGGCTTCACTTTGCAAAATAAGCAGAGACAGGAGTCCAAGTAGCATCATGGTGGGGAAAGTTTCAGACCTACAAGGCAAGTTAAAAGATGAAAAATTAATTTTACATTCTACACAAAATGGATTAGCAGGATCACTAAACTGTATTAAACACACCCACAGAGAGAGAGAGAGTTCAATACAGTATTTAAAAGATATTCAAATGCAAGATAAAATAAGAAGTACATTCAGTAAATTAGAAAATATAGAGATATATCTAGGCCTGATATATTGTTCCAGGTGAATTACCACTGGCAAAACCCATCTTCTTCTGTGTGTTTAAGAGTAGATGCCTGTATTGATTGGGCCTGCTTCTCAAAACATAGCACTCCAAGCTAGAAAGCTCAGACTCTGAAACTGAGTTAGACAAAGAAGAGTGGTTGGAAAGCTTTAATGAAATACCAAGGTTAATGAGCAAGACTAGCAAAGTGACTGATGAGAACCTGATTCTGGGGGAGACACAAGAGTCAAGGAGAGTCAAAGGAGGAGAGGTGTGAATACATCCACCAAGTAGTTCATCACTGAGCCAAATGAGAAGATGAATTAAGTAACATCTGGCATTCCTGCTGTGTGGTCCACAAGCAACATGAACCTTCTTGAGGGTGAACCTAGCCCCCTTTGGAGGTGAAAAGACAGACGGGGATTCAGTTCAGAATCTACTCCTAACTACCAATAACTACTTGGATGATACCTTAGCATCTTTATTGTTACTCACTCGGTGGGTGGTGAACTCTCCCTATGTGGGTCAATTGTGTCTTGTTAGCTCAGTGCAATCATTCCTGCATGGTAGGATGAGTTTTCTGAACCCATTGAGAAAATCAACAGTCTGTTATTATATGTCATTGTAGCCTCTCTGGTTGTATGGACGATGGAACCACCATTAAAACATGGTTGGTATAGAAACACCATAGAATCCACACATGGAAAGAACATGGGGTTGTCTGCTGTGTTGTGTGAACCCAGCCACTCTGTATTGCAAAGCCAGCCTAGCTCAATAAAGGACTGTATTTTAGAAGACTTTCGCCTTGATCTGCTGGAAAGGGAGAAGGGGAGAGAAATTCTCACAACGCATCCCCACAGGGCAGAGGCAGCCAGCTGGTGTAGCCTTGGACCCCTGCTGGCTTAAGTCTCACATCAAAATTAAGCTCTGGTCAGAGATTATGAGATGTGTAATCCAAAACACTTGGAGGACACCAGGTTGCCTGCAAGAGGGAGCCATTTTAAAAGGAACCATTTTTGTTTTCAAATATGGAATCTGCAGCAAATGTCTCTCTATATAGGGAAAGAAGCATTTAAAAGAAATCATGGGAAAGAAGATGTTGAATCCTTAACTTCTGGCATTCTTAACCATTGGGTCTGTTGGTTGGGACTGATGGACATGGAAGTCTAAAGTCTAGGGAAGTCTGGATTATGTGCGGAGTTTGAGATTCCTCCCGCACTTCTGAATTTGTCCTCAACTGCTGAGAAATCTGGTGTTCTGCCTTTTGCTTTCAGGCCCTACAGAAGTGCCCAGGCTGAAAAGGTAAGCCATGGCTCTGTTGAGGGAAGACACCGTTAAGGTTCTGCAAACCATATGACAATGCATATCAATAGCAAATGGATCTTTCAAGGGTGTTGATTTGTGTATTGGATATACTGCCCCAAAACAAGAAGAACTCCACCCATTTATTGACGCAGCTTGTGACGACTACGCTTTGGCAGAAATCTGCATCTTCATGAAATTATGGGTGTTTGTTCCTGCCTCCTAATTAATTGCACCAACTGGAGTCAGGTCTTTGGCACAGCTGAGAAGAAGTGGACCTTCTCAGACTGTCGTCTTTGCAGGAGATGCATGGTCAGGAGTGACAGAGGAGGTCCCTCTTTCCAACACTAAAGTGTGCCTGTTGCTAGGTGTAGAATGGACCAAGAATGGACTAATATCATTTTCCCATCATTTTATTTTGTGTATTAGCCATAACTCACCCCTGCTAGCATCTGTGATTGCTTTTATTTGCTTTTCTTTTTTATCGCCATTGAGTTGCAAAGGCAAAGGTACCGATGCTTGGGCAGTGCAATCTTGTGGGTGCTTGACAGGGTCTGGGCAGCCACAGGGTTTTTCAGAGTTACAGTGATGAGGCTGGAAAATCATTCGGAGCTTGCAGCTGGGGATCCACGTTCGGATCCCCCTGACCCACTCACACGCAGCGAGCGTAGAAAAAACTGATGGCTGCTTCCCTGAGGTTGTCAAGAGTACCCCAGAAAAGGGCTTTTGCGGTGGGGGCAAAGACAGGGATGGGGTAGGGGAGGAGACGGGCGTCCTCTGAAGAGCCTATCTTCGATTTCTGAGATCAGCTGCCTAAGTGCCTTTGAGGAATGAGAGGAACTAATGAGGCCTGTGCCTACACTCTTCCCACCCTCCACAGGGTGCCCATAAACCTGTGGGTAAGAAGGCTGTGGGCGCCCACAGGACTGTATCCTAAAAGTGCTCTGTTCAATTGTTGCAATGACCTTCTTGTCAGCTGCCTTGGCTGCTGCCTGTACGCAGAAAGGTGGGTTAGAAGCAAACACATAAATTAAATACTCTGGCTGATCTGGCAAAAAGGATGCATACCTGAAAGCTTCTGATTAATGTCTGTACCAGCTTGTATGGCTACACATCAAGCTAGTGTGTTGCATCATCTTTGCTAAGCAGGAAAGGCATGGGCCTGCAGCAGGATGGGTGACCATATGGGGAAGTGGAGCAGAGGTTTGGATTCAAAGGCCCTATAGGCCCTTTATAACCCTATTCTATTCCGTTCTATCCAGCAAAAAGAATGGCAAAGGTGGAAACAACTCTGAGGTTGCAATCTTCATTCTTTTCTAGGGGTAAAGCAGATGACCTGCTGTTATGTTAAGGTCAAAAATCAGCAACATATGTTGTATGCCATGTATTTCCTCAGGGAAAACTATGCACTTATTTTAAAATCCTGACAATAGCAGTTAAACTCTAACCAAAGCTCGGTGGTGGGCAGCTGGAGCTCTGGAGTTCCCAGCCTAATTTAATGTGGACCTCGGGAGAGGTTTGAAAATCCTCTGCAAGCAAGTGGTCGTTGAGAATTCTGCCAAGAGCGTTCTGCCCTTCCTTTGGCAGCTCACTGAGGAGAAGGGTGTGTTAGAACGAGAGAGAAGCCATGGTGCCGCCTAGACTTAGCTTCAGCTTCACTCACTGTTGGTTTTGGCCCACCCACCTCTGGCATGCAACTGAGAGATTACTTCTGAAAGAGAGAGAGAGAGAGTTCTCCGCTCCTGTTCTACATCACTGGCCAGGCTGTACTGGTTGTATTTCCTTCACCTGCTTTTCATTCTTGAATTCTGTGAACTGGCTACAAGCATATATTTGGCTAAGCACTTAAAATAAGGTTGGGTAGCAACCTGATGAAAGAAAACAGTTCTCCCCTGCAGCTCACTAGTTTGCATAAGCAGGTGTGCTTTCGTTGCCTTTATGTAACCAAATTCCTCAATGATGTGCAATGGTTTCAAAGAAGAACATGGAGAACATGTTCGGGACAGGCAGCCTTCCATTCTTGAGCTTCAAATTGTAAAAGGCCACCTCCATTAGTTAACCGCCAGTGGATTTTTGATTTGCTAGTCACATCCAAGCAAGAGATTCTTTATTGCAAGAGCCGTGTGCTGTGGACAGTTCACAAATTACATCTGTACGTGCATGTGCTAAATAAATAAATAGGGAGAAATAATTTAATTCACATACACATCATGAAACAGGTCCTTGCACAGTTATACACAGCAGGAAATTGGGGTGCATCTTCTTGAGAAGTGCAAAATACCCCTTATGCTTGAGCTTGGTGGAGGCTGTCCTTCAACAGAATATTCTCTGTCCATTGCTAGGGTTTCTGGAGAAACAGAAGCCTGGTTGAGGCATCTATTGGAACACGGATGGGACAAAGCATGTCCGGGAACGTGTGCACAATGGTTTGCAGAAGAGCCTGTGTACCTGGGGACAGTGCAGGCACACTCCTGACTTGTACACAGGTTTGGCTCACCTGTGCTTTGCTGCAAGGCTAGGCATTAACTTGAAAGTGACCCTAAGAAAAGAGCTAAAAATACTCATTAGGCTTGTGCCATAACACAGCTAGATTTTGCTCATTTGTCCGAGACCGAGACATTTATCCTTACAAAAATGCCATAAATGCAAATGGTGAACTCATCACATGCTTTCTGCCTGTAAAGCGTGAAGCAAATGCGAATGTCAGACTTATGCAATTCATTGCCGAACCTGGGTGATCCCCCCCATCCAAAGTGCAGACTCAGCATCTCCGTTGACTCAGATACAGTTCATTTATGTCTGTTTAATAGGTCATTTGTCTTCTTCTCTTCAGTGACCTTTTGCGATAATAGTACTTAACATTTATACAGTGTATCTTATTAGCACAGTGCTCCACAAACATTATCCAATTAAATATTGTGACAGCTCAGAGTGGTGTGTAATTAAATATTATTAAACCCATTTTATAGGTGAAGGAACATGAAGTAAATAGGCTCTTTTGTGTGTTTTGGCAGCAGCACGAACAGATAGTTTACTCAAACAGTGGATACACAGGAGGGAGCGGGGAAGAAGCACTGATCCTGGTCCGCTTTAGATTGCAGACAGGCACAATACTTAAATCCCTCCCATGGACACAATTCCTCCTCATGTACAAAGCTGGCAGATTAAGGAAATGACTATGTTAGAGCATATCTCTCTTAACCACCTCTTTCTAGCCTTGCTTGTTCTCTCCTGGGTATATTTGCTCTGCTATTTATCCCTTCCGGCCTCTAGCTCATTATTCCTGACTCCCCAACCGCTTTTGACCAGCCAGACCCCCAGAACTGCTATTGTGTGACTAGTCGTATCCCCAGCCATTTTGCAGCGATGCTCGTATCTGATTCCCAAATTCGCCCACAGGGTCCAGAAAGGTTGACAAACTTGCCTTGAGGAATCTCAGAAGTAGAGACCAGTGACCACAATCTCTTATAGTTCAAAATTTTTGCACCTTATATTAGGCAGACAGAAAA